CATTTCACAATATCTCTGTGGTAAAATTTTGCAAGTGCATATCATCAGATATGGTTATTGTAAAAAAAGTTAATTAACCTGATTGTTTGGATGAATGAGCCAAGCTATTAAATGGTTGCTCTTACTAGTGTAACCCATCAGCAAGAACCGTGAAAAATTATTTTTACGGCGATTTTATTTACTTTTATTTAATTTAATATTTTTATTCTAGTCCAACAAGATGACTTGCTAAATTTGTTTAATAGCTAACAGTTCTTAAAATAACAATTTTGACGAGTTTTCATAATCGATTTCCTCTGTGAAGACAAAGGAATGCTGAACAGCCGAGAGGTTAGCAAATTGTGACTCGTTTTTTAAATTGGGAATTGATTTGATTTACTGTAAGTGATTTAGGAGATATTTTCTCCCAACGCAAAACGTAGGTGAGGAATAAAACTTGAACGCGAGTACACACACACACACACACACACACACACACACACACATGCACACACACATACACACACACATGCACACACACACACACATGCACACACACATACACACACACACACATGCACACACACATACACACACATGCACATGCACACACACACATGCACACACACACACACACACACACACACATGCACACACACATACACACACACACATGCACACACACATAGACGCATGCCAAGGAACACACAACTCAATAAATCTACTAATAAATCTACTAATGTATTAATCTACTAATCTGTTAATAAATCTACTAATGCCTACTTAGACATTCGAAGAATAATGCACATCCACAACTTCTAACATTTCATAGGTTATTTTTAGGTTGCAAAAACTTTTCATTAAAGATATTTTTAATAACAACTTTGTTCTTCCTAAAATGATTGCTCAAAATCTTCTTAATTCTCACACTTGTTATTATTTTTATTCTATATTTGTAAAGTTTAAAATTTATTCAACTTCAGTTTTTTCTCCTATTGTTCACTTAATACAAGGCCCAAGAGTTACTCAAGGTAGAAAGTCACTAAAAGGGTGTTATAGTGGAACACATCTATTTTATAGTTAATAGACTCTCCCACCTATAATAAGTAGGAGTAGTACGAGGAACGTGGGAGTCGCTCAGTCAGTCGATGTCGGACGACAGTTAGTCGAATACTAAAGTATCAACGACCACAACTAGATTACTCTGCGTCATACCTATTATATCAAGTTCCTAACGTTTTGTACGTCGAACCTTTTTTATGACCGACTTAGTACAAATACAAGCCTCCACTGTGAAATCACTCCACAACAAAGAGCGTAAAAGGAGGGAGCAAGTAGTGCATATTATGAAGATATGGAAAATGAATAATAAATGAGCTGAGACTTGAAGTAATTAAGATTGTAATTATCAGAGAAGCATCCTCTAGGGAGTCTGTTCCACAATGCAGCAGTTCTAGGAAAGAAGATGTCAAAGTGGAACTGCCTCCTTACCAGTGAAGGGCATAAGGATAGGTCGACTCAGTATACGTAGCCTGGCGAGTCATACCTGTGAAGGTCTGAACAGGTGGAACCAAGGAATGTAGTTCACCCGAACATGTGCCATGAAAATAGCAAGAGAGTAGCAATTTTTCAAAGAGGTTATAAGTGGGAAAACAATTCATCACCTACAAGGCCGCAAAAAAGGTTTTCAGTTCTGTCACGGTTGGAAAGTGAGGAATTGTCAGCCCCAGTTCAGATGTGGCAGCTATATTCCATTTTTTGTCTGATCTGACTTTTGTAAATATAGAGCATGACAGAAGTCATGTATTTTCTGAAGACATACATAGAGTCGACCATTTTTTCATCATCTTTAGCGATGGCTTGTAGGACTTCCATTTCAAGTCTGGAATGAAAGTGAGACTCAGTAGACGTTCCAAACAAGGAGCTTTAATGACCAAAGACTGAAGACAAGGCAGGGTCTACTTTGCGATGATAAAACGATGTTTTTGAAGGTATTGAATGTTACAAGAGAGCGAAATCAAGTAAAGCATAGGCCTTGTCTTTTAGCCTTAGAGGAAAACTTCATTTCAAAACTAAGTCTAAGGATCATTTATAATCGCAAACATTAACCGTTTCCATCCATCGAAAATCTTCTTTGAAATTTTCCAGAAATAGCAAGGGCTAAGTTTGTTTTTTTTTTGTTTTTTTGTTTTCAAACTTGGCTTGGACTGCTTATGCAAACATTTATCTGTATGACTTACTAACAATGAAAGCGAATAGACTGACCGTCCCTCCAGAGGGACCAAATATAATATAAAAGATGCAATGCTGCAAGGAACCAAAGCAAAGTTCATACAGAATCAAGAGAGAAATTATATAATATATATATATATATATATATATATATATATATATATATATATATATATATATATATATAATATGGACATGTAGCTGAGTGGTTAGAAAGTTTGTTTCTGACCATGAGTCCTGGGTTCAAATTGCTTTATGTTTAATTTGTCAAGGACTATATATATATATATATATATATATATATATATATATATATATAAAAGTGAACATAGAAGTCAACACTTAGAGGCGACAGTCTGTTTCATGCTATATGCAATCGTCAGGCCACATATGCTGTTATTTTTCTCGGCTATTTATATATATACGGGTTACTGGTGCATTGTGGGTATTCTATTATGGAGGTTATTTTTTACCGGAAGTCGCTTTGTTTATTTATTTGGGTCAAATTATATTGCTCGTTTTTATTTTTTTGTTTCTTATTTTATTTATTTATTAACGTAGTAAAAATTTGATTATATCACGTATTTAACAGTTTTGTTTTGGTTTGAGAATTTAATTAAAGCTATTTGTTCAATTTTGGGGTTGGTTGTTGTAGTTCATTCTAACTATTATTTTTTTTTTTTTTTTTGGCGGGAACAGTTTTTTAATTTGGGATTGGTTTGTCTATTTATTTACTTGGATGAATTTAGGTCAATTTATTTGTATATTTTCTCTTTTTGGTTTTCGGTTTTTAAGCAACATAGTATCTATTTATTTATTTTATTTTATTTTATTTTTTTTTATTAGTGTATTTGTTTGTTTTTTCATTTTATTTTTTCCGTTTTTCATTTTTTAGGTTACGTAGTAAAAATTTATTTTCATGCCTGCATTTTGAGATGAGCTCGGATCTTTTATTTAATAATTTATTTTGGTCGGGGAAAGTAATGATAGCTATTTTTTCCTCCAAGCAAAGTTTGCAAGTTTTTGATTGGTTGTTGTAGGCTGATGACTTTTTCCTTATCTTCCAAGATATTTTTGGTGTGATGTGCGTTTTGTTTTTTATTTCCCAGGTATACTTAGAAAGCATAGTACTGTTCGCATATTTACTATTTGTGAACGATGTTTTGTGTGTATAATTTCTTTGCGTGCGATTATTTGACAAATATATGCACACCGACACACGTGTACATATACGCGCGTGTGTGCAATATCTATATGTGTTATTCTCTTTAATGTACTAGTGAGTGTTGAAATATTTTCTGTCCAATCAACTTTCTAAATGACCACCCCTCCACTCCACTCATTCAACTACTAAGAAATCTTGCAACCTGTCAGTCTAGAAGCACCAACACTCTTCGAAGTCTTCTGTTAGCATCAGTAGCGAGATTTTATTCCAAACTAGCAGTATAGTCCGGCGTTGTCTGGGGATGTAACAGTAAGAGATAGATCAAGTATCGACCATCATAAAGACTGAAAAATAAAATTGACAAAGATTATTGTTTAAGGTTGACGGACACGCATGTCTTAATTAGTTTTTTTTGTTTTTGTTTTTTTTTACGAATTGGTCTCAACCAAACAAAAACATTGTTTTCAATCGTTATGAGTCTACCGATTGAATAGAATTTTATAAACAATTGTCTTGTAAATGGAATTTTTAAAGCATTCTGAATGTAAAAAAAAAAAAAGTGTGCAAGACAATAAGAAACACTACCTGCAAAAAAAAAGTGAAGTTTTGTTGAAATTGGTTGAAAATGTAGGAAATCCGATCCCATATATACAAACACACACACACACACACACACACACACACACACAACCTGGGTTTTATAATTAGTATAACTCGATATGAGTTGTCCCCCTTTCATTCTTGCGATGCCTCTTAATCGTGTTTCCAAATTGATTTCGTGCAAAAACAATTGTGTTTTCCAATTTTTGGCGCTGTCAGAACCACTGCAAGGTAATTTTACGTAGTCCTGTGAAGTTTTGTTAAAATCGGTTGAAAAATGTAGGAAATCCGATCCAATATATAAACGAACAGACACACACACACACACAACCTGGGTTTTATAATAAGTATGATGATTAAACATTAGAATTTTATTTGGAATCCTTTCTTGGCCGGGCGGAGAACTTCTCAGACCCCCCCCCCCACACCGTATGTCAACTCACCGTCCCGGTTTTAAAATCACAAACATCTGATTGCAAAAACAAAACAAATCATGTCAAACAATAATCATATTGTTTTAAATGTAATTGTAACATCTTTGCAAACAAATGTCAAAGAGTTTGTAAATAGCTATTGACTCAGTGCCTACCGTAGTGCCGAAGCTTGACTTGTAATAGCATTTGCTTATTCTACAGAGTTTGATCCTTACTGGTTGCATTGCGCCAGATTAAGTAACGCTTAGCGTGTAACAATAACTACAGACGGGTAGAGATAGTGAATCAGTGTCAGAGAGACTAAGTTATCTTCATGCAGAACAGATCAGAAGATTGTGTTGCGTCAAGCCCTCATTTTCATCGCTTGAAAAATCAACATTGAGATCCTGATATAAACTTGGCTTCGGCGGGAAATTTCACCACCACGTCAGCCACAAGAGAGACTCTTATCTGTCCAGATAGATAGATAGTGATTTTCCAAGCGTAGCTTAGATGTGGCACAAAGACGAAAGTATGGGGCACCCAGTGAGGATCGAACTCACGACTCAGTTGTAACTGTTCTAGCGAGACAAGCTTGCTAACCATCACACCGCCTCGAGGTGCCCGTCCAGATAGATAGATAGATGATATGAATAGACTGATATAAATAGATAGATAATATGAATAGACTGAGATAGACAGGTAGATAGACAGATAGACAGATAATGAGAAGACTGTGATAGATAGATAGATAGATAGATAGATAGAGAGAGAGAGAGATAAAGAAAGAGATGATCTGAGATCTATACTTTTGCGAGCTCATCAATCTTCCCAACGAAAAGACATGGTTTTTGTGCCAATCAAATACATAATGATGGATTCTTGGTAAACAGAGACGTACCTCGCCCCACCCACTATGAGTGTTCCATTCTTACTGTGACCATTTCGAAATGTCAATCAGGTAAGAAGTCAAGGTGGCATTTTCTCGGTTTCAATCCAAGAGAAAAAAAATGATAAACGACATTTGTATCTAATGACATTTCCTCTGAAAATCAAGCGATTTCATCCATTGCAGGCTTTCCCGCCTGTCGCCGAATCAGCATTCCCAATTTGTATTCAGGACAACATCCGGCACTTTCCCCCCCTCATATCTGACATCTCTTGACATTGTGCCATTCTTTGGCAACTATGTAAGCGCGTTTCAATGGGGCCAACCAAAGAATATCACTTCCCTTTCCTAACAAACCATTGGCATCTCTGTTGAGCCTCGGACAGGACAAGAAAAGAAAAATAATCGTATTTATCAGAGAAGAAAACTGAAATTACTCGTTACTCTTTCGATATCAGAATCCAGTTAGATACTTGAACTCATTATCTGGTTTCGAATCCAACAAAAACTGTTCGGGTTTTAAATTACATTGAAAAATCTTTGTCATTTATTATAAACAGAGCATTTACTTAAATATCTGTGTATATATAAAATAACAACATTATTGTCATATTCACGACGTTTCGGCCGTTGTACGCTCTGGACTTCTTCATGATCTGTTTTTATTTCAGAGTTGAGATATTCTAACTATTTACACAATTTACATAGTTCAGACTGTTGTGCTCGCCGTTATTGTCTTATTCACGACGTTTCGGTCGCTGTACGCTCTGGACTTCTTCAGGATCTATCTTTATTTCTGAGATGAAATATTCTAACTATTTACACAGTTTACATAGTTCAGACTGTTGTCCTCACCATTATTGTCATATTCACGACGTTTCGGCCGTTGTACGCTCTGGACTTCTTCAGGACCAGTGTATATTTCTGAGATGAATTATTGTTACTATTTACATTTACAGTTGTCCTCATCTTTATTGCCATATTTAAAACTTTTTGACTTTTATATACTCTTGCCTTTTTCTTATTATCGTATTCACGACGTTTAGTTTTCAGGTGTTAATTTGGAATTTCGAACTGAACCTTTTATTTAGTCCAGTGGGGTAGATTGTTCTAGTTCCACGTGCCATGCCTTTTCATTACGGCAATAAAGAGGACAAATGTCCGAACAATGTAAATAGTGTAGATAGGAAAGATGTTTATAAATCATCATTATTGCTAATATTAGATGTTTACAAATGAATTTATTGTATCTTTTTTTAATAAAAATAAATAAATAAATAAATAAATAAAAGTTTTCTACCTTGCATTCAATTTAGCTTTTTTTAAAAAAACGCGGCTTGTGATTGGGAAAATTTTTCACATATTTAATTGCAAAAGTAACCTCGAAACCAAAATTTTCCATCTGCTTTTTTTCTTTTTTAATCTGTTATTCAAGAATAGTGAAAATAAATAAAGAAAATAGCCTCTGATCCTAAGTATATGCAAGTTCACTGCGAATAACCGTCAACTATAGAGTTTCTTGATTTTCTATCTCTGAAAAAGACCGCTAGGAACTTTTCTGCAATTAATATATATACTCATTTCGATATATACAACTAAGATCATAGCCTCTTCTTTCTTTCTTTCTTTCTTTCTTTCTTTCTTTCTTTCTTATATCTATCTATCTATCTATCTATCTATCTATCTAGATAGATAGATAGATAGATAGATAGATAGACAGATTGTTATAAAATTGCTCTATTTCTAGAGAAAGAGTGTTCAATATAGTGTTATAATGAAGGGAGGCGCGATGGAATAATGGATAGTGGCTCGGATTGAGGAATTGGAAAGCCGAGTTCGAATTCCAGTCGAATCCATTACATGCATTACATCCACTTACGTGGTAATACTCTTGGGAAAGGAATGAATCCTTTTCTTCCTCCAACTATAGGTAAATAGCAGGACAGATCGGGTTCTATAGCCTTGGATGCAACTGATCTACCGCAGAAAGAAATGGCAACCTACTGCAGGAAAAATCTGCCTCGTCAGTCAAGTATCGAATAACACATGTTCCCCTAAGCGTATGGCACATAACTGACTGACTGAATTCATTTACTGGTATAAGCAATATGGACATAGTGTTATGGGGTCCACCCCTTTTTTCATATAAGTGGACTCGACCAGTGTGTACTTGTACTGCTGCCGGTGAATACCCGAGAGATAGAGATAGAGTGAGCAACAGGGATTGAGTGAGTACACTGATACAGTGATACAGTGAGAGAGTGAGTTAACCGCTTTGTAGGAGTCACAGTTGCGAGCACGTAGACTCAGAAGGAAGTCATACTTCAATACTGAATTTCCCAGACTGTATATATATTATTATTTCTACTAACCGCATTTCTGGATCTACTAACCGTATTACCAATTGTATTATTACGTCAATACATTTATTTGCGATATTTCATTCCTGCGTTTGTCATTTATTTGAGACCGGATTTCATCCCGGAATCCACAACACAGAGAAATCAACACTGCATGATTACTGGCTGTTTCATGTCTTAGGCAATCACAAGATCACGTGTTACTTCTCTTTTTGTACGCTTTCTCTGAGTTACTCTGGACTTACGTGAAGGGATAAGAAAGGAATAAACATGTTTTTTCTTTCTTTAGAATTTTCATTGTTTTTAGATCATTTATATTTCTGGAATTTACTTTGATTTTTATTTACTTATATTTATGTTTTATTAACGTAGACGTTTTATTCTTTTCGTAGACTTTCTTCAGGTTTACATTTAGAAATTTGAAATAAAGTTTATCAGTTTTAGGTCATGCGTTATTAGTTGTTTAAAACTTCTTTGATTTTGTGATGTAGTTGCCTGTAGTCTAGTTTGCATAAATAATATAAACCACTAAATAAAAGAGAAGGGTTAATTTTCAAATGCAGCAATGAAAACAAATTCCTTCTAAGCTACCTACAACCAGGTCATAACTTCAAAGATGAAGAACTATTAAATTATAACCTAAAACGAATAAATTTTATTATAAATGTCAAACATTAGAACCAAATAAAGTATAAATGAAATATATAAAATAATGACTAAAATTATTATAAATAAATATAAATGGAAAAAATGGCCTCAAGATTAGGAATATAAATAATCTATAAAACATTTTCATGAACAAACAGTATCGAAAACCCGTTCTCCCCTCCCTGCCACATCATATAAACATTCAGTGACCCATAGAGAAGGCCAACACAAAATACATAATTTGACAATCACTTAAGGCGTGAAACTGCTCGTCAGAATGTAATGTTGATTTCTGTGTCCGAACTGTTTCTATCTATCTATCTATCTATCGATCGATCGATCTCTCTAGTGTTGTACATAAAAATCAACACTGCATGTGACTGGCAGTTTCACACCTTAAGCTATTGTTAAACCATGTGTTACCCCTCTGTGTAGGCTCTTTATACAGGTCATTTTTGTATCTATCTAGATAGATAGATAGATAGATAGATAACAGTGTGGACGTAAAGTCAACACAGCAATGTGATTAGCAGTTTTATATCTTAAGTTGTTATTAAAGACTGTGTTATTCCTCTTTATGTGGGCTCTATATATAGGCCACTGAAGGATAATGAGAAAGGGAAATATGAAACTATACACAAACACATCTCAGCCTCATCGACCATAGAATAATAATGAAGAGCTATCCAATAAGGCTTGAAGTTCTTATAAATATATTCTTATAACCAGCTTGCTAAACATTGCTCTACAACAAACACGTTGAGTTTCATTTTGTAATATTTTTAATTAAAAAAAATAAATCCAAAACGATCAATATAATCATTTTTTTTCTTTTTTCTGTATCATAAAAATTCATTTATTGAATTTGATTGCAACAAAGAATCGGTTGAAAACCTTTCAGTGAGAGAAATGAGTTTCTTTTTCTTGTGATTAGTACAATAAACAAACCCTTTAACATTCAACTTGACTTCATAGTTTACGAACAGAAAACAGCTGAGCTATGGTGAAAGGTTAATGAACGCAGAAATATGTCTTCTCTTCAATAAGACTCTTGTAGTAGCAAAGCAAATACCTACTCGCGAGCAATGTTGAAACAATTTCAAAACATTCCACGCGAAATATTGTGACTTTGGAAGAAAAAGATTACTACTAGTTATCTGAATATACTAGTTTCAAGAAAAAAATAACTGATACAATGTCTTGACATTAGATCTTTCCTTGTAACAGATCGAAAAATATCAAATTCCGTTTGGAATACTCGTAAAATCGTTTATAATCGTTCTTCGTATTTTCATGAAATGTCCTATTTTTTTGTATCCTTTTTGTAATTGTTATAGCGGAACACACCTATTCTATAGTTAATAGACTCTCCCACCTATAATAAGTAGGAGTAGTAATAGTAAGTAGTCATTCGCTCAGTGAGTCGGTCTGAGTTCAGTCTGAAGTCGGACGACCGGCTGACCGGTTGAATCGAGCGGGGAGGTACCCGGAACGAGGCTACGCGGAATGGAGTCTCTTTCCGGGGAGGTAAAGACCCTGAATCCGTTTATACGGGCTCAAATGGGCATATTTTTGGCCGAGCTCACAGGCTCGGAGATCCCACGTTAAACCGGCCTTGTGCCACATGATGACTCGTGGGGGCGCGACTAAATATCGTCGCTGAATGGGTCGGTCAGTCCGTTCAGGATGCTGGACGACCGTTAGTCGGATAGCAACCACAACTAGATTTCTCTGCGTTATACTTATTATATGAAGTTCCTAACGTTTTGTACGTCGAACCTATTTTAGGCCCGACTTAGTACGAATACAAGCCTCCAGCTCTACAACAGTAATCAAATTGTATATAGGTTTTTCGAAATAATTTTTACTTTTATCTCGTGAGACGTAATTTAAATGGAGATTAGCACTTACCAGCTTTAGTAAGGG